AAAGAGGAAAGGAGTGGAAAGAAGGAGGCAGAGAGAAATGAGTCAAAGGCAGACGTAGGGAGGTTAAAGTCACCCAGAACTGTGAGGGGTGAGCCATCCTCAGGAAAGGAACATATCAAGCCGTTAAACTCATTGATGAACACTCCAAGGGAACCTGGAGGGCAATAAATGACAAGGTTGTTAAGCTTGAATGGGCTAGTGACTCTGACAGCATGGAATTCAAATGAGGAGATAGACAGATGGGTCAGGGGAGAAAGAGAGAATGTCCACTTGGGAGAGATGAGGATTCCTGTGCCACCGCCGCGCTGACCAGATGCTCTCAGGGTATGCGAGAACACATGGTCAGACGAGGAAAGAGCAGTAGGAGTAGCAGTGTTTTCTGTGGTAATCCATGTTTCCGTCAGCGCCAAGAAGTCGAGGGACTGGAGGGTAGCATGGGCTGAGATGAACTCTGCCTTGTTGGCCGCAGAACGGCAGTTCCAGAGGCTGCCGGAGACATGGAACTCCACGTGGGTCGTGCGTGCAGGGACCACCAGGTTAGAGTGGCAGCAGCCACGCGGTGTGAGGCGTTTGTATAGCCTGTGCGGAGAGGAAAGAACAGGGATAGACAGAGGCATAGTTGACAGGCTACAGAAAAAGGCTACAATAATGCAAAGGAGATCGGAATGAAATGAACTAAACATCTGGGAAAGCGAGAGAGCGGGGCCTCCCTCACTTACGTTTCACTGAAACACTGAAATATAACTCTCCCAACTTCCACTTTAGAAATTAGAATTGTTGTAAACTACAGCGGTTCAATGTTTTCAAGGAATAGACTCTAACTTAGTTTATTCAGCTAGCTAACTTGATACAGTATTCTTCAGTGAAAACCGTCCAGGGCACCGACTCCTATGACGCCATAGCCAACTAGCATACCAGCCTCCAATAACACGGTTTAGCACCAAAACTCAGTTACAACAAACCACCAGTGTGTTAACACGCCAAACAGATCATTTGTGTCCGTGTCTAACGTTGTGTAAAGTTTTGGGTTAGTTTTGACAGTTTGAGTGAGTACTTTGTCAACTTATTCAGCCAGTTAGTTAGCTAGAATAGTTAGCATACTAGCTAGCCATTGCTCTCTGCCAACGAACCAACCCCTCCTCCCACGGCACGAAACACAGAGAGAGCCAAGCTAACGTTAACTAGTCACCCATGTCCCGAATTCCCTTGAACGACTCTGGTTACCAGTATGTGAAAACCAAACAAAAATAAATGTAGGTTATAACTTACCCTTAGTAGCTACTGTTAGCCAGTTAAGTGCAAAGCTAGCCACTGAATCGATTCAGCCAGTTCGCGTCTGTCCCAACGGAGAGCAAGCGTCTCCAAATATTACAGTTAGGTCATTCCAGCTATTGTTTAATTAGCTACCCAGGTAGCAACAAGCTAGCTACATTTCGAGTACAGTAGCTACTAACTACCTAACGTTAATGCTTCAGATAATGAGGTTAGAAAAACAGCTGAATGGTAGGTAGCTAGCTGGCATAATTACAGGTACTCTTAAGCGTGAAATAACATTGGAAACAACTATCCACAGTTGCTAATAGTTACCAGTAGCTACCCGCTAGCTAGCTAGCTTTATTGGTCCAGGTAGTGGGTTAGCTAGCCTTGTGCTTCACCGGGCTCAGCCGAATACAATATGTACCTAAAATAACTACCTAGATAAACTACCTACAATACCTAACTACAATACCTAACTACAATCTAAATACATGGTTTAAGCTTTACTCGATACCATATAAGAAGCCAAGCTTACCTCCCACTAGAGAAACACAACCTCACCTCCGTGACCAAGGCCCTTCTCCCCCAATTATTAAGAATGATGGAGGCCACTGTGTTCTTGGGGACCTTCAATGCTGCAGACATTTTTTGGTACCCTTCCCCAGATCTGTGCCTCGACACAATCCTGTCTCTGAGCTTTACGGACAATTCCTTTGACCTCATGGCTTGGTTTTTGCTCTGACATGCACTGTCAACTGTGGGACCGTATATAGACAGGTGTGTGCCTTTCCAAATCATGTCCAATCAATTGAATTTGGGGTATTGTGTGTAGATTATGGGGTATTGTGTGTAGATCGAAGATTGAATTTTTATTGATTTAATCCATTTTAGAATAAGGCTGTAATGTAACAAAATGTGGAAAAAGGGAAGTGGTCTGAATACTTTATGAATGCACTGTGTACCTACACAAGGCTACAAGGCTACTGTTGACTTTGAAGATTCTAATACTTCAACCTCTAGAAACATGTGCGAAAGCATGGTCTTAAGTTTACAGGAGGAAAGGTACATTCTCACGTCAAGTTCAGTTTTTACAAATGCCAAGTTTTGCATAAGAACTGATGCACGCATGTTTTGGGTGATATTTTGTGTTTTTACACAACGTTTATAAATGAGGCCCCTGGTGAGCCTGAAAGTTACTGTGTGGAGGCGAAGGTAAAGTAAAGAAGTTGTCTCTGTCTGGCAGTCGCATGTGGATGTTACAGTTGGCCTTGAAGCGACTCCCCTAAACTCTGAACTCTGAACTCTGAACTCTTGCCACGGCCACTTCCTTCAGTGCACTACAACTGATAGGCTGCTCTGTGGGCCTACATTACTACATTACCATGGGAGCGTCAACAAGGCTGCACTGTGGCCCTACATTACTACATTACCATGGGAGCGTCAACAAGGCTGCACTGTGGCCCTACATTACTACATTACAATGGGAGCGTCAACAAGGCTGCACTGTGGCCCTACATTACTACATTACCATGGGAGCGTCAACAAGGCTGCACTGTGGCCCTACATTACTACATTACCATGGGAGCGTCAACAAGGCTGCACTGTGGCCCTACATTACTCCGTTACCATGGGAGCATCAACAAGGCTGCACTGTGGCCCTACATTATTACATTACCATGGGAGCGTCAACAAGGCTGCACTGTGGCCCTACATTACTACATTACCATGGGAGCATCAACAAGGTCTTGCCAGTATTTGTATTTTCATTATTTAAATGTTCTTTATTTTGCCAAGTACCTTTTACTATTTGCTGCCTTTTTAAAAGAGACTTTGTCTGTAATAAATCTCCTAACGGTACTCCAGTTTCAGTCTCTGTGTGAACCTGGTTGCAGGCTCCAGATGTTAAAGTTTTCTAGAATTGTCTGGAAAACTTCCTACGACTTTGTATCAGCTACACACACTCCCTACCACCTCACATAATGATACAACAATATAGCATGTTATATACCACTCCCTAATGATACAACAATATAGCATGTTATATACCACTCCCTACATAATGATACAACAATATAGCATGTTATATACCACTCCCTACATAATGATACAACAATATAGCATGTTATATACCACTCCCTACATAATGATACAACAATATAGCATGTTATATAGAGGTCTGCCTTTCTGTCTTGTTTGTTATATAGAGGTCTGCTTCTTACTCCATATGTGTGTCTGTGTGTGTGTGTGTGTCTGTGTGTGTGTGTGTGTCTGTGTGTGTGTGTGTGTCTGTGTGTGTGTGTGTGTGTGTGTGTGTGTGCATTTGTGTGTGTGTGTGTGTGTGTCTGTCTGTTTGTGTCTGTGTGTGTGTGTGTGTGTGTGTGTGTGTGTCTTTTTGTGTCGTGTGTGTGGTGGTGTGTGTGTTTGTGTGTGTGTCTGTTTGTGTCTGTGTGTGTGTGTTTGTGTTTGTATGTGTGTTGTGTATGTTTGTGTGTGTGTGTGTGTGTTTGTGTGTGTGTGTGTGGTGTGGTGTGTATGTTGTGTGTGTGTGGTGTGTGTCTGTGGTGTAGTGTCTGTGTGTCGTGTGTGTGTGTGTGTGGTGTGTGTGTGTCGTGTGTTGTGGGGTCTGTGTGTGTGTGTGTGTGTGTGTCTGTGTGTGTGTGTGTGTGTGTCTGGTGTGTGTGTGTGTGTGTGTTTTTGTGTGTTGTGTGTTGTTGTGTGTGTGTTGTTTGTTTTTTGTGTGTGTGTGTTGTGTGTGTGTGTGTTGTGTGTGTGTGTGTGTGGTGTTTTTTGTTGTGTGTGTGTGGTGTGTTGTGTTGTGTGTGTGTTTTGGGGTGGTGTGTGTGTGTGTGTGCTGTGTGTGTTGTTTGTGTGTTGTGTGTGTGTTGGTTGTGTGTGTGTGTTGTTTGGTGTGTGTGGTGTCTTGTGTATGTGTGTGTGGGTTGTGTGTGTGTGTGTGTGTGTGTGTGTGTGTGGTTGTTGGTTGTGTATGTGGTGTGTGTGTGTGGGGTGTGGTGTGTTGTGTGTGTGTTGTGTGTGGGTTGTGTGTGTGGTGTGTTGTGTCTGTGTGTGTGTGTGTGTGTGTGGGTGTGTGGTGTATGTCGTTGGTGTTGTGTGTGTGTTGGGGTATGTGTCTGTGTGTGGGTGGTGTGTGGGTGTTGTCTGTGTGTGTGTGTCTGGTGTGTGGTGTGTGTGCTGTGTAGGTGGTGTGTGGTGCTGTGTATGTGTGTTGTAGTGGTGTGTGTGTGTGTGTGTCTGTGTGGTGTGTGTGGGGGGTGTGTGTGTGTCTGTGTGTGTTGTGTGGTGTGTGTGTGTGTGTGTGTGTGTGTGTTGTGTGTGTGTGTGTGTGCTGTGTGTGTGTGTGTGGTTGTCTGTGGTGTCTGTGTGTGGTGCTGTGTGTGTGAAACAGGTGAGCATTGCCTCCAATTTTCCAGCCACCAATTTCAACTTAAACATTTAAACATATTCCAAATCAACTTGGCTATATACTGTATGCTTAGTCTAATACACTGAAAACAAACTTAAAGATACCAAAAACAATTTAGTCCAATCAATGTTGCTAAATATCATGTTGCAGTCCATTGTAGTGATTTCTGTGTGTGTGTTTCACATTATACACTCACAGCAGAGTGTATGTCTGAGTTAACCAAATACAGATGATCTCAAAGTCTGCCTGCTTCCACCCCCTGCTCCGATTGGTTGAGGAGAAATCTGTGAGAATTTGAGGAGAAATTACGCCCCTCTCCCACCACTTAGGATCCCAATTCCACTAGTCTGCCTTCTGCTTTTTACCCATCTGTAACAATGGCTTCAGCCCATGATAGAGCAGTACTTCAGGCTATCTTTAACCCCACCAGCCCGTCTGGAGATGTCCCTGGGTTAAACCAAGACGAGGAACTGGCAGATGATGGTAAATACCTTTTCATTCCAATGGATTTGAGTTGTCATGTGTGCTGGTGGTTGTCATGTCTGTTGGTGGTTGTCGTGTGTTGGTGGTTGTCATGTGTGTTGGTGGTTGTCATGTGTTGGTGGTTGTCATGTGTGTTGGTGGTTGTCATGTGTTGGTGGTTGTCATGTGTGTTGGTGTGATGTGCTGTTTCATGTTCATCATATGGACTCCAGAGCATTTATATTCCTCTTAAAGTCATTTAAAAACTGGATTATTCAATGTGTATAAAGGTCTGGTGTTTAGTCTTCTGTACCACAACACCTGTCATTCCATCAAAACACTGTTTATCTGTCTCCTAAAGACAGTGGCTTTGAGGTGGGGCTGCTACAGCAGGCCAAAGAGCTGGAGATGGAAGGGGTTACAGCAGCAGAGTCCGGGGATCTACCCACAGCCCTGGAACGGTTTAGCCAGGCCATAGACACACTTCCTCAGAGAGCCTCTGGCTACAACAACAGGGCCCAGACCAGACGACTCCAGGAGGACACAAAAGGTATTTCTATAACACCGCAGGAGGCTGGTGAGGGGCCACCTATATACTGCAGGGAGGTCAGTCGCCGTACTTTCACTTTCAAATCACCCACTATGTAGTGGTTTATACAATCTATATAATCTACAGTTCAGTACGCTATGAAAATATGTCTCTGAAATCAACCACATGCAGTGACAGTGTTCTACCAAATATAATTTTCTGGGGATTATTTGTGACGTTATCAACCACATTTTAATCTAAAACCTCACATGTCCTTGAAAGTAACCCTGTTAAAATCAACATACAAACTGTATCCCCCAGGAGCCCTAGAGGACCTGGAGCTTATCTTTATCTGTGGGTTCTGTGTCCCCCAGGAGCCCTAGAGCACCTGGAGCTTATCTTTATCTGTGGGTTCTGTATCCCCCAGGAGCCCTAGAGGACCTGGAGTTTATCTTTATCTGTGGGTTCTGTATCCCCCAGGAGCCCTAGAGCACCTGGAGCATATCTTTATCTGTGGGTTCTGTATCCCCCAGGAGCCCTAGAGGACCTGGAGCTTATCTTTATCTGTGGGTTCTGTATCCTCCAGGAGCCCTAGAGGACCTGGAGCTTATCTTTATCTGTGGGTTCTGTATCCCCCAGGAGCCCTAGAGCACCTGGAGCTTATCTTTATCTGTGGGTTCTGTATCCCCCAGGAGCCCTAGAGCACCTGGAGCTTATCTTTATCTGTGGGTTCTGTATCCCCCAGGAGCCCTAGAGCACCTGGAGCTTATCTTTATCTGTGGGTTCTGTATCCCCCAGGAGCCCTAGAGCACCTGGAGCTTATCTTTATCTGTCGGTTCTGTATCCCCCAGGAGCCCTAGAGGACCTGGAGCTTATCTTTATCTGTGGGTTCTGTATCCCCCAGGAGCCCTAGAGGACCTGGAGCTTATATTTATCTGTGGGTTCTGTATCCCCCAGGAGCCCTAGAGCACCTGGAGCGTATCTTTATCTGTGGGTTCTGTATCCCCCAGGAGCCCTAGAGCACCTGGAGCTTATCTTTATCTGTGGGTTCTGTATCCCCCAGGAGCCCTAGAGCACCTGGAGCTTATCTTTATCTGTGGGTTCTGTATCCCCCAGGAGCCCTAGAGCACCTGGAGCTTATCTTTATCTGTGGGTTCTGTATCCCCCAGGAGCCCTTTATCCCCCAGGAGCCCTGAGCCTGGAGCTTATCTTTATCTGTGGGTTCTGTATCCCCCAGGAGCCCTAGAGCACCTGGAGCTTATCTTTATCTGTGGGTTCTGTATCCCCCAGGAGCCCTAGAGCACCTGGAGCTTATCTTTATCTGTGGGTTCTGTATCCCCCAGGAGCCCTAGAGCACCTGGAGCTTATCTTTATCTGTGGGTTCTGTATCCCCCAGGAGCCCTAGAGCACCTGGAGCTTATCTTTATCTGTGGGTTCTGTATCCCCCAGGAGCCCTAGAGGACCTGGAGCATGCCATCACTCTGAGTGGGGGTGTAGGGCGTACAGCATGTCAGGCTCTGGTCCAGAGAGGCCTGCTGCTGAGGCTGGCCTGCCAGGATGATAAGGCCCGGGAGGACTTCCAGAGGGCAGCCGCCCTAGGTAGCGAGTTCGCCCGGCAACAGGTGGTGGTCCTGAACCCGTACGCTGCCCTCTGCAACCGAATGCTGATGGAGGTCATCAACAAGCTACGCAACCCGGAGGTGTCAGAGACACAGTAGTCAAAATATAAGGCTTACCAGCCCAACACTGCCACACCAAATACATTTGTATCACTTGTGCATGCATTAAATGTTGTATTGAGGAACAAATTAATACATGTTTATGGTTTATTGAAGGTGACAGATTTTATTGAGTTATCCTGAGTCATTCTGTGGAATTCAATCAATCAATCAAATGTATTTATAAAGCCCTTTTTACATCAGCAGATGTCACAAAGTGCTATACAGAAACCCAGCCTAAAACCCCAAACAGCAAGCGATGCAGATGTAGAAGCACGGTGGCTAGGAAAAACTCCCTAGAAAGGCAGAAACCTAGGAAGAATCCTAGAGAGGAACCAGGCTCTGAGGGGTGGCCAGTCCCCTTCTGGCTGTGCCGGGTGGAGATTATAACAGTACATGGCCATTAAGGCCAGATCGTTCTTCAAGATGTTCAAACGTTCATAGATGACCAGCAGGGTCAAATAATAATCACAGTGGTTGTAGAGGTTGCAACAGGTCAGTACATCAGGAGTAAATGTCACTTGGCTTTTCATAGCCAGGCATTTAGAGGTTGAGACAGCAGGTGTGGTAGAGAGAGAGAGAGAGAGAGAGAGAAAACAGCAGGAATGACCTGTATGTTTGTTGCAACAATATTGACTGTTAGGTACCTATGTTATTGTAGACAGATAAATCATGTTGTCTCCAACTGGCTGTGAAGGAAAGGGAATGGAAAGTGCATGGCATTGTTTTCCCTCATGTGATCACCCTCATGTGATCACCCTGTGGTCCACTAAGTGTCTGGAATGGAAGGGCAGATGCTTGGAGAATCCATGGCTGGCCCCATGGCTGGCTTCATGTAGCCACATTTCTGAGAGTTCATTCACTTCTCTTCTACTCCAGAGGATGGCAGTATGAGTCTTTTGAAAAAGGGAAAGATCATAGTTGTGGGCTGTGTTAGCGGCATATCTGATACGTATCTGATCTTGTCCCTAAGGTATGAACAGCAAAACAACACATGGAATCTGATCTTTTGACTTCAGATTTAAACCACCTCCATATGTGGATCTGAATCCTGATCCAAACCGAACCTCCATATGACCTTTGTCTGGAGGCTAAGATCAGATATTTTTGCTCTGAAGTGGTTTTTAATGTGTTTTATTGTCAATGACAACCACCCTAAAAACAGCGGCTGGAAATGAACAATGCATCTCTGTGCTACTTCATCAATGTGAACACACAAATCTAATCAAATCAAATCACATTTTATTTGCCATATGCGCCGAATACAACATTACAGTGAAACGCTTACTTACAAGCCCTTAACCAACAATGAAGTTTTTAAGAAAATAAATTAAAGTGTTAAGTAAAAACTAGATTAAAGAGCAGCAGTAAAATGAAATAACAGTATTGAGGCTATATACAGGGGGTACCGGTACAGAGTCAATGTGTTGGGCCACAGGTTAGTCGAGGTAATTGAGGTAATATGTACATGTAGGTAGAGTTAAAGTGACTATGCATAGATAATAAACAGAGTAGCAACAGCGTAAAAGAGGGGGGGGGGGGCAGTGCAAATAGTCTGGTGGCCATTTGATTAGCTGTTCAGGAGTCTTATGGCTTGGGGGTAGAAGCTGTTCAGAAGCCTTTTGGACCTAGACTTGGCGCTCCGGTACCGCTTGCCGTGTGATAGCAGAGAGAACAGTCTAGGGTAGGGGAGGGAATGGCTGGCAGGGAGGTAGCTCAGTTGGTAGAGCATGGCGTTTGCAACGCCAGGGTTGTGGGTTCGATTCCCACGGGGGGCCAGTATAAATTTAAAAAAAATATATATATATATCAAAAAAATAATAATGTATTCACTCACTAACTGTACGTCGCTCTGGATAAGAGCGTCTGCTAAATGACAAAAAAAATTAATTAATAAATAAATAGATCCACAAACAATGCAATTCGCCATCACACTGCCCTATCCCATCTGGACAAGAGGAATACCTACGTAAGAATGCTGTTCATTGACTATAGCTCAGCCTTCAACACCATAGTACCCTCCAAGCTCATCATTAAGCTCGAGGCCCTGGGTCTGAACTCCGCCCTGTGCAACTGGCTCCTGGACTTCCTGACGTGCCGCGCCCAGGCGGTGAAGGTAGGAAACAACACCTCCACTTCGCTGATCCTCAACACAGGGGCCCCACAAGGGTGCATGCTCAGCCCCCTCCTGTACTTCCTGTTCACCCATGACTGCGTGGCCAAGCACGCCTCCAATTCAATCATCAAGTTTGCAGACGACACAACAGTAGTAGGCTTGATTACCAACAATGACGAGACCGCCTACAGGGAAGAGGTGAGGGCTCTGGGAGTGTGGTGCCAGGAAAATAACTTATCACTCAACGTCAACAAAACAAAGGAGCTGATTGTGGACTTCAGTAAACAGCAGAGGGTGCACCCCCCTATCCACATCGACGGGACCGCAGTGGAGAAGATGGAAAGCTTCAAGTTCCTTGGCGTACACATCACTGACAAACTGAAATGGTCCACCCACGCAGACAGTGTGGTGAAGAAGGCGCAACAGAGCCTCTTAAACCTCAGGAGGCTAAAGAAATGTGGCTTATCACCTAAAACCCTCAGATGCACAATTGAGAGCATCCTGTCGGGCTGTATCACCGCCTGGTACGGCAACTGCACCACCCACAACCGCAGGGCTCTCCAGAGGATGGTGCTGTCTGCACAACGCATCACTGGGGGCAAACTACAGCAAGTTACAGCAATATTGGCTGTGTGGACTTCACCACCAACATATACCTAATACACACAAATCTAAGTAAGGAATGGAATTTAAGAATGTATACAGATATGGACAAGCAATGACAGAGCGGCATGGACTAAGATATAGTAGAATATTATAGAATACAGTATATATATATGAGATGAGTAGTGCAAGATATGTAAACAATATTAAAGTGACTAGTGTTCAATTTCTTAAAGTGGCCAGTGATTTCAATAGGCAGCAGCAGCCTCTAATGTGCTAGTGATGGCTGTTTAACAGTCTGATGGCCTTGAGATAGAAGCTGTTTTTCAGTCTCTTGGTCCCAGCTTTGATGCACCTGTACTGACCTCGCCTTCTGGATGATAGCGGGGTGAACAGGCAGTGGCTCGGGTGGTTGTTGTCCTTGATGATCTTTTCGGCCTTCCTGTGACATCGGGTGCTGTAGGTGTTCTGGAGGGCAGAAAGTTTGCACCCGGTGATGCGTTGGGCAGACCGCACCACCCTCTGGCAAACCCTGTGGTTGTGGGCGGTGCAGTTGCCGTACCAGGCGGTGATACAGCCCGACAGGATGCTCTCAATTGTGCATCTGTAAAAGTTTGTGAGTGTTTTAGGTGCCAAGCCAAATTTATTCAGCCTCCTGAGGTTGAAGAGGCTCTGTTGCGCCTGTGTCTGGAGAGCCCTGTCGTGTGGTCAGGTGCCTCAAAGAGGGATTTAGGGAAATTGCAATTGGCTCAGAACAGGGCAGCACAGCTGGCCCTTGGATGTACACAGAGAGCTAACATGTCAGTCTCTCCTGGCTCAGAGTGGAGGAGAGATTGACTTCATCACTACTTGTATTTATGAGAGGTATTGACATGTTGAATGCACCGATCTGTCTGTTTAAACTACTAGCACACAGCTCGGACCCCCATGCATACCCCCACAAGACATGCCACCAGAGGTCTCTTCACAGTCCCCAAGTCCAGAACAGACTATGGGAGGCGCACAGTACTACATAGAGCCATGACTACATGGAACTCTACTCCACATCAGGTAACTGATGCAAGAAGTAAAATTAGATTTTAAAAACAGATAAAAACACACCTTATAGAACAGTGGGGAAATTCAAATGCTTAGCAGGACAGGAAAATTGTCCAATTCACACACTTATCAAAAGAACATCCCTACTGCTTCTGATCTGGTGGATTCACTAAACACACATGCTTCGTTTGTAAATTACGTCTGAGTGTTGGAGTGTGCCCCTGGCTAGCTATAAATAAAATGGCAGGTCAAGGGCAGGCGGAAATAGAACTTGCTATATTTTAGATGCTTGATGCGCTGGAAGTCCCGCTTCTACTCATTGGTTTTTAGGAGCATACCAACGTGGGTGATTGAAAGATGCACAAGGTTTATTCAGATTATCTCATCTCCCAAATATCACTATTTCTAAAACAAGCCATAGAAAGTTGGTTGCAATTTCAATTTAATCCTCCAGAAACAACAGAACAAATAATGCAACAAATATTGTGGTTAAATTCAAATATACTAATTGACAAAAAAACTTTATTTTTTGACAAAATGTTTAAAAAAGGTATAATCTTCGTAAATGATATCATAGGTAGGACTGGTGGAGTTATGTCGCACATGCAGCTAACAAAAACATATGGAAATGTCTGCTCTACCCAAAATTACAACCAAATAATTGCAGCATTACCGCAAAAATGGAAGAGGAAAGTGGAAGGGGGAGTAAGGAACTTGTCTGTCGGCCCTGCATTAAAGAACATAATTGGTTAAGGAAAACTGTGATAAATAAAAAAGTATATCAGTTTCATTTAAGGACCAAAGGATTGACAGCCATCCCATATAGATTGCAAAATAGTTGGGAAGAGATTTTTGACGTACCGATCCCATGGCATAGTGTTTATGAACTGACACACAAAACGACACCGGATTCAAAAATTAGAATCTTTCAATTTAAATTATTATATAAAATTCTTGCTACCAATAGAATGTTATTTATATGGGGGATACAATCTTCCCAGCACTGCAGATTTTGCTGTGAAGAGACAGAATCATTAGATCATTTGTTTTGGTACTGTCCATTTGTAGCTTGTTTTTGGACACAGGTCCAGGAATGGCTAAAGGATTGCAATATTTACCTGGAGCTAACCTTGCAGATAGCATTACTGGGTGATCTGAAAAGTCATAGTCAATCGATCAATATTATAATAATACTTTTAGCAAAAATGTTTATTTTTAATTCACAATCTGTAGAAGCAATGAGAATAGAAAGGTTCAGATCTTTTGTAAAACATCACAGTACGGTTGAAATATATATGGCAAATAGAAATCCTATATGGATGGTGTTAAGAGATAGATGGG